TTATACAAATGTTAGAAACTGAATTATCAAAATTCAGACTAGTTCGAATTTAAAAAAATTCCTTTCAGCTTTTATTTCAATATTTGTCTGTCGTTTAAGGTGCTCTCCCAGGTTTCTTCGAAAGACGCGAGAAACCTTGCAGAGGGAACACCAGGACAAGCTGACGAAACAAGAGGAGGAAGAGAAGAAGAGGCTGGCAGAGGAGCTATTGAAAGAGAGGAACGATGAACCTATCTACGACGAGAATCCAGCGTTGATCGTGCGGCCTGGCACGAAGTCAAAAGCGGCCAAGATCTCCGTAGGCATCGACGCTACGCCGGCCACGAGGACCGAATCGATCCTGAACCAGGTGCCCATCGAGCTGGCAAAATGCGGCGAGAACGACAAGAGCATCGACTACCCGGTGATCGATCCCAGCCAGTTTCAGACGACTCCTCAGGTGGTCGTTATAGAGCATCATCACTCAAAGAGCGATCCACTGCCGATGGAAAACGTGTTGAAGAGCACGAAGCCAAACTTCTCTACACCGAGAATCTACGAGTCGGATTCCGGTAGCGCTAGCAGTTTGTATGCGAAGATCAACCCGAAGCTAAAGTCCCGCTTACCACGACCGGACCTGATGAACCCGGAAGGGTCGGATCAGACCGAGCAGATTTACATGAAGATGTGCCCGAAACTGAGCACGTTCGGCGTGAACAGTCCGCCAGTGTGCGACGTGAACGTAACCAGCAGAGACCCGGCCGTTGAAAGGACATACGTCAGCCCGGAGGAGGCACTGAGGACGATCAAGCGCAGAAACTACCCGAAAGTTCTGCCAGACATCGAGAAAAGACGTTCCCTCCCGGCGCCTAGCAGCCTGTTTGTGTCCAAGCAGCACGCCGGTTCCCTGAAGGACTACCGAAGCGGATTGCAACCGTCCCTCCATCAGCCGCCGCAGCCCCCGCCGAGGACGTTCGGCCCGTCGAAGAGCCTGGAGTTCGCCGAGGAGAATGAGAATCAGTGCGAGACGGAACCGGTCACTACTAATCTCCACGTTGGCCCGTTGCTCAGGCGACAGGATTACTCGGCCAGGAACAATTCCGATCCGAGTATCATCGATTCTCTGGACGACAGGATAGCCAGAACGCAAGCCGGCGGCAGTGTCGATACCATTTACTCTAATACCGCGTGTCCCGTTTATGAAATCGGCCAAACGATCTCGCAGAGCGTCGACAAGAACATAGGGAGTCCGGTCGCATTGCTAGAAGCCGGAATCGGTAATCCTAATTGGTACAAATCGTCTCCATCTGGCAACGAAGCGTGCACGTTGATGGCTTCGTCAGAGCCGAAAATCATCGGCAGGGAGGCTGACAAACAGCATCAGTTCTGGGATTCCAGGACCCATGGAACCGAACCGAGAATCGTTATCACGCCTAGAGTCGGGAATCTTCTCGGGCAAGCGAATCAGAGTTTGAGTCAGAACGTGGTGAACCTGGCGGACAATAACGAGAGGTTCGATCGAGAGAACGTGAGTTCGACCGAACAGTTGCCGTCGCTTCTAGAATCGAGATTGCAGGAGAGGAAGGAACCGCGGATAATAATTACACCGAGGGACAAGGGTGCGAGCGTGAAACAGCCGAGAATCATCATCAAGCCTACGTCCACTCTGCAGAGGAACAGGGATCACAGGAACATCCCTAAAGTGTCCGCGATCCCACCCCCGGAGCAAAGCTGTCTGGGATGCGTCGATAGGGACAAGGCGGAGAAGCCGCCGTTAAAGGAGAAGCCGAAGGTCACTAGGATCCCGTCGTTTTCCAGGCGCAAGGAGGAGGGCGGGGTCGAGAGGTCGGCCGTTCCTTCGTATCCCGAGAAGGCGGAAATCGTGCAGAGGGTGGAGGCAGTGGCCGCCGGCAAAGCGACGAACGTGCCCGTGACCGGCGACGGGAAGTCGAGCATTCCGACGTTGCAGCGGAAGGAGAGCGAGAAGTATTCGAGCACGGACTCTAGCAACGCAGTCTCGAACACCGGCACGATCAAGAAGAAGCCGATGAACAGGAAGTAGGAACCACTTAACGTCTGGTCCTCGTAAGATTGTTCGAGCCGAAGAGTCTGCGGTTAACAATCCAGTATTCGATAGATCCAGTGATTCGTACGTCATAGTTCGAGGGAACGATCTCTCAATTAAAGAGAAAAGTGACTTTAGAAGTGAGACACGAAATCGATGCATTTTTTTTGCTAGCGGGACTAATGAACATTTTTATATCTTATACATAAAATTTCTAACGCTTGAAAAATATGATACAAGTTTTTATACCGTAATAATAATTACTAAGTATTTATTNTTAATTTTAGACAAATTTCTTTACACATTATTCTTTCACAATGCAGTCATTTTGACTGCTTTGGGCAATATAGGTATATACTAAGTTTCAGTCTTTCTAGTGTTAATTGTTGAACACTGTGTACAATTGAAATATAGCTCGTAGACAATTTTTTGCTACAAAAGCGTGTACACAGTTTTACGTAACGGGACGAACGCGTAAAAGAATGAATATTGTCCACTCGTATTAATTTTGCAACGATCACGTTTTCGCGCAGTACTCGAACGCACGTGGCTCGTACCGCGTCGCACTCGCGTGTGTGTCCGCTGCACTTTACATTTCTTTTATTACAGAACGATCGATCGATGACTCGACCGAGCGATACTCTATTGAAATACAGTTGCTGCTGTGTGCGCGAGAATATTGTCTCATAAAATGTGTATTGAAACAATGTGCACACACGCGAATCGACGTTTAGGGACCCTTTATCGTGCCAACCGTTCAAATACCCTTTCGTTATATTTATCCGAAAGCTGTACACGTGTTGCTGAAATTCGTGTTAGAAAATTGATCAACTTCGTCCCTCGATTGAAACAACTACAATACGCGTTCGCAGATAATTGAAACGCTGATCGAATTCAAGTCTTTTTATTTCAAGAGTGACGTATTAGTATTTACGTCGGTTGGTAAACGATCGAAGAGGAGGCGACGAAAATTCGGTATACCAGCGGAATACTAAGCGGGCGTCGTCGGATGAACTTTCGATTTGCCGGCTGGCGTAATGGCGCGGATTTGATAAATTCGTCGGACGTTTAATGGTCGGAGCCACGTGGCTCTCACGAGCTAAGTTGCCGATAGTACGGTTACTGAACTCTCGGCTCGACGAAGTGCGGAACTCGTCTCAATCGAAGAGAAGAAAACTGAAACGAGTAATTATTTTTCGACTACCGACCAACCGGTTGGGTTGAAACAGTATTTGAGCCAAGTGCCACTTGGAAATTAACTGAAATTATATTCGCGGTCGGTGATACATCAAAGGAACCGGTGGTGTAAACGTGGGTGCGTGCATGTAAGTCGCACACGGTCACGCTGCAACCGCGCGCATCGGGAAAATACATACGTATATGTATATATGTCTACTAGAGGGCAGAATCGGGCCAATTTGCATTGCTAAACGGCGTTTCACATTCGATTCGCTCCCGGCTCCTTCGGCTCCCCGATGTTTGCGCGTGGGTATATGCATGTGCTCCAGGGCCTGGCGTTGAAATTCGCGAGTTCCGAGACGAGCGAGGAAAAAAAAGCAAACGCGTGTCACCGCTGTTAAATGATTTACAAACGATAACGCCGCCGGCGGGGTGAAGGAGATCCGAAAATATACAATAAATAAACGAATTTGTCGAAAAACCAGCACGTTTCGACGTTTAACCGGTAGTTTTTTAATTCCGAGCGCCTGAAAAAAATAACTCCAGGTTGGAATAGAGGTTTTATTTTTCGAAATAATATGCAGATTGCGCTCGGTTCAAAAATTGCCTCGACTGTATTAGGAGCCAGTGAATTCCCGTTTGAAACAAAACGCGGCGGATGCATTCCCTCTTCGCAGATAACGTTACTGAATAACGAATGAGACGGGTCAGAGAAATTGTAACGGCTGGTAATTTATTATCGCAATCTCCGTATCTCTCGGCGAATAAATTTTTTTTTTTTTTTTTGCGAGAAGGAAACTGGCTTGGAAGAGTGAAATCGTCGATGCGGCCCCGTCCCCGCTGCGGCGACCCCCGGTGTTCACTTTTCCGAGTCAACGATGCATAAAAACCGTGCATCGAGCAACGGGAAACCTGGTGGAACCGCGACAAACGATCCGATAATGAGGGATACACTCGTTCGTTCGCGTCGGTTGCCAGCAAATAGCCGGGCCATTCGGTGGAAAGGGGTTGACAATGAGACCGCGCCGAGCACCGTGGCCGGGGGGGGTTCCGAAGTAGGGAGAGTCTGGAAACAGTAGAAACAGGAAACGGCGAGAACTGAACCGAACGATTACCAAGCATTAGTTACGGGCAGCGTAACGCAGTCTCTGGGCGCAGCAGTTTGGAAAGCAGTAATTGCAAGACAACTCCGGGATCTCTGCGCGGCTGACGGGGGTGGATTAGTGGCAACTAGTGCTTACGCGACATCGTGGAACTGTCGTCCAGTCAGCTGGACGAACACGCGACCCACCGTGATGTACGAGCCAGTTTCCTACGCTTGATGAACATTCGAATGCCAAAAGAAGGACCGAGCTTTTCTAAACCGGAAACACGACCACCGTAACGAGTTTTAACCTCCCGTTTGTTTCATTTGTTCTGTTCTGAATTGAAATCGTCGTCGATATTCTAATATATTCTACTATTCTATTCTAAATAAAAATTAAAACTGTTGTCACGAATTTTAATTTTCAATAATAATTATCCATTAACTTTTTATCAAAAATATTTTTCCATTAACCTTCATTGGCTTTGTACTTTCTTAAAAATCAAACGATTATCATGTGTAACGTATTTGAAAATAAGAAACGAAACTTCTGCATATGTCCAGAGTTGCATTTGAACTAAAACAGAAAAAAGGGAAAAAGAGGGTTTGCAACAGAGCTAAGTTTCTCCTATAAATCCATGGCATTCTTAGGCTGACGCGGAAAGCACGTATCATGAATTATTCCGGTGTTCTGGTTGCTAGAATTATTCATAAGAAAACAAATGTTACCTGCAGTTGCTGCTATTTGGAAGCAGGACTTCGACTGGGTTCAGGTTCACCAAAGAAACTATAAATCTACTTGTCGATGATGCTTTAATTCGGTCTCCAACTTATACGATGTTCTTGTTCGAGGATAAATCGTGGAAGTATTAAATTTTGTTGCACGTCGTTGGTTGGAAACGGTGGCCCGGTTCGTGGGAAAGAAATTCGGCCGTTCAATTATGCAATTTGTCAGATGGGAGACAAGGGCGTTAGAGGGAATCCATTTCAAGGTTGTCTGGCCGCGTAAAGGGGATCGATTAGAATCATCGTGCGGCATAATTAGCGGGGCCGGAGTGCATATCTAAATAGTGTTAGATCGGGCCGCCTCTCGTTATCGTGTCCCGCGGTGAATTTGGCGAGAACCGGCGGTAGTCTAATTCCCTGCCTTCGAGGCTGAGCCAATTAATTAATTTGTACCGGTCGGCTGGCCACAGAACAGGCCTCTCTGTCTCCGCCTTTGCTTCTACGGGTATCCATTGTTGCCGAGACAATGCCGGCTACTTGGTAGTTAGACTACCTAACTGTCCGCGGTAACGACCGAGCGCGATGTCAGATTAATTAGATTTCAAAGGGAACGCGTTCGAGGGGACTGAATTCTGTTTAATCAGCCGTACCCCTGACCCTCCCCGCTGGTGATAGTCAAAGAAGCATAACGATCATCGAAAAATACTCGACGGCGAGAACCAGGTGCCGGGTTTTATCGACAGAATTTCATAATTCTCAAATGAGAAACGGTGAGATCCTCCGAATCTATAGTGAAAATTTCTCGTTAATCACTTGCGGGCGTAATTTCATATAATGGATTGTCGAATGATTAGAAGCTCCTCGAGATATCGCGTACATTTTTTTAAACACAGTTGCGTTAAAACAGGAAAACTGAAAATCGTAATTAAGCCTAGAGGAGGGAAAAATTCGAATACAATTTGCATTAGACTGTGCGGAGCGCAAACAGTAGAAGCTCGCGCGTGAAAGTTCGAGGTTGGAGCAAACACTCGAACCGGGGGTGTATCGTTCGCAGGGAAACAGCCAGCGAGGCATTTCCGCGCGTTCAGTACATCGCCGGGACTCTCTATTTTCACAAGCCATTATTTCGGCGGAGAGCGTCGGCGGCGGCAGCAAGATAGAGAACGCACCGACACGGTTTCGCGGCTTCGATTATCAACGAGAGCCCCCCGCGATCTCACAATCGCATTCCGACCGGTGCGCACTGCTTCCAACGACATATCCTACGGCCTGTATCGATTATCGGATGTTCGAGTGATTAAACGCATCTGCCAGGCGTAACGTTCGGGGTTCCTGATGCGTTCGTTAATCATAGATGCGGCCTCCGTGTTTTTCTGCGCCTCTCTTTCACTGCCTTCGCCGAACGACCAATCAATTCTACGCATTTTACTGATTACTTCTCCCTAATTAGATGATGGGAGAGCATCCCGGGCTAAGGACACACGAATTCATGTTGATCGATCGCACTTTCACGCTTGAACGTTCCACAGGCTGGAACTACACGCGTCCAACCCGACCCATCAATCGACCCTTCCGCCACCTCATTAGCAACAGATTACTACATAGATTATTTTAGGACTTTAGAGAAATTCCACGATTGCCTTTCGTAGGATATTGCAAATTGTACAATTGTTCTAAACATTTTTTCTCTAATCTATTATCAATTGTACGTGACTATTCATGTTGAAGACAGAAGCAATTGAAGAAAAAAAACAAACAGTATTTCTGTCAATATAAATTAATCTCATCTAATAATTTATGATACAGAAGAATTTTTATTAAAATTTTATTCTCTACTTTTCCTTTCTTTCACATAAGCTGTATATATCAATTTTCATTCTATTCGAAGAATACAGTAAAAGATTATAATAAATACTATACTTAATTATAATAAATACTATAACTATAGTCTTATACCTCCACTTAATTGCAAAATTGAAAATTAATTCAAACTGTATATTAATAAATAAATAAATTATACAAATGCGCGCGTATGAATTGTAAGCCGTGATGCTCTAGGTGACTAAAAGGGTGCTCTTATCGTTAGGACGTTGTATTGCTTGCCGCGCAATTTATTTCGCCCTTTCACGATGTTCCTCGCGTTTAAACACACCTGCATGTGGATCTTGTTTCTGAATTAAATTACCGTTAACTGAGCGG